CATTTGTCTGGAACGGTATAGGGTTTCCTGCCTAGGCAGGGGGTTGGACTAGAAGACCTCCAAGGTCCCTTCCAACTCTGCTATTGTATTGTAACTAAGAATGAAGATTGCAAAATAATGGAGCCCCCAAAATCTTACTCCTGCATATATGCATATGATATTGGTGAAGAGTATCGTCTGTCCTTTATGAAATCACTGAATGAATTTAGTACAACCACAATTTGTATGTCTAAGAATACACAAAGTCATTACAAGCATTACAAAAATGGTCATAAAGATTATATTCTCAGAGAGGTATTTAAAAAAATTATGTTCCGGATTATTACTCATAATACTTGTGTTCGCAATTAATCCAAGCCAAGGCAACATCGCTTCTTGTGTTATTTTTCGTGACGTGAAGGGGAAAACATGAAAGTTGGTAAACAATCATTATAACTGGGAAGCCCAGAGACATGAATGAGTAAGATGAAACTGTAGCTGCAGGGAAGAAACTCCACTCCGGGTTTTTCTGGTCGCTCTCTGAGTGACAGATTGACATCACTGGAGGCGTGAGGAAGGGTTGAGGTGGGGGCTCTCTGCTGAAATGCTGCCGTGCGGAGTTTAGGTCATTCTGAAACAGCTCCGCTCGCGCACAAAAGAGCCTGCAAAGTGATAGCTGCAGCGGGCAAAGTCAAGCAACTGCCGTCTCTCCGAGCCGAGCGATTTGGATTTAATTCTATTCCCATGGGATTTAATTTAAGGGAACGGCTCCCAACCTTTGCATTCGGTAATCGTGGTCTGGAGGTTTTTGCAAGGCTTTCGGAAGTAGCTCAGGTGCTGTGTATGTGTGAGCGAGTGAGTGAGTGAGAGAGAGAGAGATTAAATGCCCGCGTCTGTAAGTGGGTGCAACCAACTTCTGGCTTAAAGGCTGCCGGCCGTTTAAAATAAATTGATACCAATTATTGCTATTCGTGACTTTTTGAAGGTTTAACGATCTGCAAAGCCACCTTTAATAAGTAAAGCAGCTAAGTTATTTCAAATGTAGACACAGGGACTCTGGGGGAAGGGGGTTAATGAAAGCCCCCTCCAAAAGGCAGCTCTCCATTTGTCCTCCCTTCCTCCGCGAAATCCTTTGCAAACTTTGTACCTTTTCGGGTTACACGGGTGTTCAACTCAAACATCAACGATGTGCGTACGTGTGTGCGCGCGTGTGTGCGTGAGAAGAGGAATAGTGACTCTAAGGCTACTCCTCCCCCCCACCGGTGAAATTGGTGGTGCAATCAGCCTGTCAACCAAGCTGCGCCAAGAAGCACATGGTAGCTCTGCTTCTTGCCTTCTTCTGTTATGCCCGCGAGGATGTCTTGCGCCTCCTGGTTGCATTTTTTATTGATGTTGGATTTCCTCCTCTCCCCCAGGCATTTCCCTTGTACTTTGCCTCGCTTAAGGTTGGAGCGGAAAGCTGCGGCCCAAGGACCATGTGGTGAAAAGAAGGTTGGAGTCGAGGAAGTGGTTGGACTTATCTGCTACACGCGCGCCTGACTGGGAGGGGAAAAATCTGCGCCTCCAAAGCGGGAGAGAGGGGAAAAAAAGAAAGAAAGAAAAGCTCCCAACTTGGCGGAAGGCAGGAGGGAGAACCGAGCGTGCCGCAGCAAGCTTGCTTCGTGAAAAGGCGGCTACTCATTTCTGATTTTTTTTCTTTTTACCTCCCCCCCCCCCTGAAATCGTTCGCCGCTTTAGGAGCGGTCCTCTGTCGGCCTGTTGCGGATGCGACGTGTGATGGAAAAGCGGTAGGTCGAATTTGCAAAACCAGTTCGGCCTCTTCTCCCGACTGCCGAAGAAACCTAGTTGGGATTTTGCTCTCCAGAGAGAATTTCCCGAGTAGCTCGATTGTAGGGCAGGGCGCGCGCAGTGTAAGCAGACACCCCTTTGAATGTGGGTGTTCGGAAGGCGAGCTGTTTGGGGGGGACAACGAGTTGGGGTGCCTCTCGTTCGAGGACCAGGATTTTTGCGAGCGCTCGGCGCGAGAAAGCGAAGAGAAACAAACTTGGCCTCTTGGATCCGACGACAGCTGGAGAGCAAAGGTTGGGGGCAGCAGAGAAGGTTTCGGCTTCTGGAATGAGTTTCCCTGCGCTTTAAGGACTTATGGGATCCTCGCACTCTACCTTATGGATCTAACTTAGCAGGGACGTGCCTTCACGCGGATTTGCCATCCAAAACGTAAGTTTTGTGCCAGTCCCCTTTCTTGTCCTAACTTGGCTTGCAAAATGGATTCTCGCTGCCTTTTTTTGCACGTGTGGCGCTCAAGTATTCAGCAGGTGCCCTGGCATTTCCCCTTCCCAATAAAGCAGTTTTCTGTGGGTCCAGCTTGAAGAGGGGTGGGGGGAGCCGAGGGTGGTGCTGCGGTCGCTGGAAGGCTCGTTTGGATAGATTTCCTTGGCTTAAAAAGAGGCGATTTCGATTGTCTTCCAGCCCAGATTTGCTGGGCTCTGAACTTGTAGCTTCGGACAAGGCATATAGGCGTGCATGTTGTTATAAGTGGGGCGGCTGGATCGAAGGGTTAAAACCTGCCAACTGCTTCGGTGGAGAAGTATGCCGTTTTTCGACCGTTAGAGTTGTTTGGTGCCTGGTCTGTAAGCCTCTACTCTGATGTCCTTTGCTAGCATTCGGCACAGGTGACACTGGAAGGAAATCGTTTTGGATTGTTCTTCCCAAACAAGATGAGGCTGGAATAAGTAACCAGGTTGGGTCTTACTTTTACTATTACTAGCATTGCATGCTTGCACATATGTTTCTGGAAATTGTTCTGTTAGGGTTCCCTTGTTTATTCTCCAGAGTAGAGATGTGGTTCAGAGAAGGGAGCATACAATTGTGTAACTGTGTTGGCCACATATTGTAGAGGTAAAAGTGATTGGATTATTATTTTTTAATCACACGAATTAGAGCTCTGCTCTGCTATATGCAGTTCTTTGGGTGTAAAGTGTGGTGGATGTCATAATAATCCCTACTAATTCCGTGGATTTTATGCTAAGAGGAGGGTCAAGGTTTTGCTTCCAATGGTTTACTAAATAATCCCCAACATTGTTTTTTTTCTAAGAACGCAGATCTTAAAAATATGTCTTGTGTGTGTATGAACTATGTGTAGTCAATAGTGGAGGGATTTTCCCTTGCAGTATGGGTGAGATTCTAGTGGGTCACTGAAGAGGCTACAAGAAGGAAATTGTGTTTCAGGCAGAGATAAAAAGGCTTCCCCGCCCTCCCCCACCTTCTTAGAAATCATTGAAGGGAAATGGGAGGGGGGAATCCCTGCATGCTCAAACTAGTGCACCCAAATCTTCCATATTTGCCTTGAAAGGTAGGGGAGGCTGTGCAGCTTTAAGCATTGGAAAGTCCGCCCCCCTGAGGTAATAGTAACCGTAGCCAATTCCCCTCCTCCTCTGCAAATGGGGGTGAAGAAAATCCCTTGTTTTCATTCATAACTTTTTCTTCTTCCATCCCAGCTCTGCATTCACTGCTGCCTCTGAGCTCAGATTGCATATGGGCAGTGCAACCACTGCCTCACCAGCCTGCTGCTTCTCCGTGTCTCTCAAGTCCACGCAAAGCAGATTTTTGTAGAGCTTGTTCATCTTCCTACCTTCCTACCATTTTGAAGGCTAGTAATGAACTAAAACAAGAAACATGTCAGGCTTTGTTCCACAAAGCAGGGGAATCCTTAAGATTTCGAATCATTAAAACTATAAATAAAAAACCTCTGATTTTTGATATTAATTGTATGCTTACTGTTTAATTGAAAAGCAGTTGTCTGGTTTTTTTAGAATTAATCAGGCTATAGCATCCAAAACATTTTAGAAAATAAGTACTGGTAATCTGGTATAAATAATTTATTTTCAAATAAACGCCACTTTTTAAAGAAGGAACACAATTCCATTCCATCTTGCTGTTTCTTGTGCATACTTAAGACTTTTGTATGCCACAACTGTAGAAAAAAGTATCTAAGTTCCAGACTTCTCTTTTATCCCAGTAGCATTTTTTTGGGATAATTTCTAGAACTTTATGGAAAGTTTATTTTGTGGATTATATTTGTATTTTGGCTTTTGGTGTGTGTGTGTGTGGGTGTATAACAATGTGTTTCTGTAAGTATGTGGAGATACTTATGTAGACTATGTGGAGTAGGGTAGTATTTTTGCTGGAAATCAGTTACTTAATTTGTATAATTACTAAACGGTAAGCTTCCATTTATAATTATACTACCACAGTCTCAAATGCTGTAGTCCAATTTCTGACTTCTGTTTGGCCTTTAAAAGCAGCTCACAACATGATGTATAAGATGCATACAACTTAAATAAAAATTTAAAAATAGTGTAGCCTATGTTATAAAGCAAAATATGTGACTTGCTATATTTAGTTCCATTTTTTTCTCAGCTGTAAACTAGTTAACTTTCAGCTTTTTTGTACTGAGGTTTGATGATGAATCTTTGCACACTGAAGATTTATGGCAAAATTTTGGCCATATTGGTTAAATGTTGTGCAACATTATCGTTTATTTTACACTTATTAAATCAGGTGAGAAACTATGGGGATATTTTTCCAAATCATGGGCTGTATCCCATTCAAAATTGCATTGTCAGAAATTATTGTCTCTCTTTATATAGAGCACTTTCCATAAAAACCTGTGTTAATTATTGTCACAGTGGTCCCAAAAAAGCAAATACGGATTCAAATTTCCCTTTCACCTTTCTTTGAATATTCAAAGGAATGTTTTGAATCTTGTCTACTATATGCTTTTTTCATGACACATTATGCTCAGCTCCCTTTTCCCCCCTAGTGTCTTATTTACCCAAAGAACTGCACGTACATTTGCAAAGATCTGGTAAAGGGAGCGGGTTATTTGCTTATCTCTTCTCCTATTATCCTTTCCTCCATCTACCTCCTTTCACACCCTGCATTAGGTGCATGGGCACTTGGAAAGATGTTGTGTAACAGGATGTGTTTACATCTGGTGTTTTGCTCTAACAAGCGCTAGACATTGAATGTATGTTTGTGTATACATTATATAAATGCACACTACCCAGAAATGATTCACATACTTTTCCCATTGGTAATTGGCTTGAGGCATCATGGAATTACAACTAAAAATACTGCTTGCTGACAATGTTTAAAATAAAGAATGGTCTTAGAATGCAGCTTTGACAAGTAAAACTGACTACCAAAAATCCAATTAAGAATTTTCACATCTCCTTTTGTTTAAAATTTGAATGTCTTCTATCATTCTTCCATCTGATAGAAACTTGGTGTGGCTTTGCATGTTTTATGTTGCAATTTGCTGATAATGGGTGGCATGGAGCAGAAGTAATTATACTACTTTTGCAATAGCATGTGAGGCAGTAAAGAATTTACTTTTGATTAAATGCAATGGAAACCTATATGCATAGTGTCATAATATATTTAAAAAGGAAATCACATTACAATTTACTAAAAAGCAAAATGCTTGTTTTTAACCGCAAAAGGACTTTCAATATATTTTGTTTATGTAGTTATCTAAATTGGTATACACTTTGGTTTGTAACTCAGGGTAATTCCCCATCTGTCGCTATTAGGATATTGGGGCAATATTGTGGCTTGTTGTAAAATGTTTCAATTCCCCTTCCCCCCCCCCCCCCCCCCCCC